ACTACTACTAGCACCAAGAACAAATACCAGTAACCCTAGTAACAAGATACCGCGATCTTCGAACCAAATCAGCGAACTGCCTTGAATTACTCAACTTAACCAAATCAAAAACATCCTCATCACTAAACAACTTCGGTATCCCAAACCCTCCAATTAACAACAGCAAACCCTTGGCATCAATCTCGCCGCTATTCCTCACACCACCTTCACTAATCAATCTCTTTCTCCACGCTACAGCCACCTGCTCCGCCTCTTTCTTCACCGCAGCCTCCATTGCATTCTCATGATCACTAATCAACAAAAAAAATTCCAAAACCAAAATCGACGCTTCTCTCCCTGTAATCATTGGAGACTCTTTCTCATAAGCTTTACTACCTTGTAAATAAAACCTCCCTATACAATCTAACACTAATTTAGCCGGCTTCGGTGCACATTTTAACGCTGCCGGAACTTCTTCTCGAAGCTTCTCCGCATTGGCTAGATTCGAAACTATATATTTCCGCAACCCTCTTCCACACATCATTTGACACAAGCTCCTTATTTCCGGTTTTTCCGTTGCTGGTGCTGCCGCAGCAGCGGTTTCAGTTTCCGTTACTTTTGTCATTTCAGCTACAATTTCCGGCGACGGCGTTTTTGCTTTTTCTGTTTGAGTTTGTTGCAGTCGTTGCGTCTTTTGTTCGAGTTCCTTGGAGCGGGCGGTAATTGCGTTGTCGATGAAATTGAGGTGATTCTGCAACTCATCGTACCGCCGTTTAAAAGCATCAATTGCGGCAGATAAATTGGTCAGGTCGTTAATTGATTTCAAGAATTGAGGTTCTTTGGGTGTTGAATGTGATTGCTGTGCTATTTCGATTACGAGATCCGGTGGGTCAGTTTTGACAACTGGTGGTTGTTGTGGAGGCGGAGGTGATGAGTGTTGGTGTTCCTGTTTAATAGGGATAGTATTGGAATTGAGAGTAATGGCCATGGAAGGCGTGGCCATGGCTGAGAGAGATTATGTGCTGGTAAATCACTGATGTGATTTTATTTAATATGGAAAGGGAAGAGGCCCTAATAAAGTTATAAAATTGATTCAGAAATATTTCATTTTGGTACCTATATATTCCAAGATGTTGCAATATGGTGCTTTTCTGTTGGTAGATAAATATCCTAATGACACGAACACCTTTTGTTTTTGAAATTATTTTTTCGTTTGGTATGTTTGAATTTTTAAGAGTTTTTGTGGAATATTATTACACATGTATTGGAA